TACGAATATTGCACAAAACAGTTAGCGTCATTAACTGACAAAGTGACGTTGTCAAACCAAAAATGAATTCAAATTATGAATCAATGTATCACGAATTTCGATTGTCGCAAATCTCGAAATCAATACAATAATAAAATAATTTCGTATAAAAATCGTTCAAACTTTATTACATGTACCCATAAAGGGGTCAAAATCAAGATAAATAAATCATTTAACTAATTTCTCATTTCTCACTTAGTCATTTTCTCATCTTCTTTCTTTATTTACCTTAAATTTAATTAAATTCCCATCGTTGTCCATACCGAGAGTTTTTTGTCGATTATATCAGATTTCAATCTTAGCATAATTTTTGTTCACATAGCTATTTCTGCATTCGATTGGGTGAATAAAAATATTGTAAACCACTCGCATTTTACATAAACACAACCAATGACTATTATCCAAAAAACATATGCTAGTTCCACAAAAAAACAAATACTTTTTTACTAGTCCTCTTTGTTGACTTTCTGCTACAATAAATCTTTGTATTTCTTCGTAATAAAAAAAGCCCAATAATCCTGTGCCGAAACCTGTCAAATCAGTAATTTCTCAATACAAATTTTTTGATGCCAAAAGTACTCCAGTGGCTCAAACGAGCAAAACAAAAGAACTAATCCAAATAATTCATTACCCAACAATTAACCTATCCCAATTATCAATGCCTGAATTTAATGGTAATGCAGAATCTGCAGTTCATTTGCGAAATACCTAAATACCCAAAAATTGAATTATTTAATTGCATATCTCAAGGAGATTTCATTAGAAGTTATGAAATTGCTCTAGGAAATTGTGATGTCATACGAAAGGTCTTTGTCTAAAAATCTGGATAGTCGCACATCATCAAAGAATTCTCTCTAATGAGTTACATTTATTAAGAAGAATGATAGCGAATGGAAATTGACAGTCTGAATATTGAAGCTTTTAAATCTTAAGCAATGAAATTATCATTGAAAATGAACTGCCCAGCAAAGAGAGGAACAAGAAGTATTTTAAGTCTCTAAATCAAGACAATTCTTGGCAAAACTGATTTAAAGAAATGATGTTGCAAGAAGCCAATCTCTTATTTAATATTATGAAAAATAAAAGCTAATCAAAAATAAGTTCAATCATAATTCAATTTCTTTTACTAACTTTTTTCGATATGTTACAGAAAAAATTCGGTCCTATCTACAATGACTCTCCAGGCATATTATTACAAAATAAAAGCAAATACAAATAAAATTAGTAGATTTTGTGTCTCTGCTTGTTCTACTAACTTTTTTTCTTTTTCCGTTAATTTGTCGCCACTGTATTTCACCTCTTTTTTGGTGAAATACTGGATTAATACTTCTTGGTTGTAAGCCAATAGTCCCAATTTTGCATTAAAATTCGTCCAATCTTAAATTTATTGTTCCTCCATTGAATTTGATAGTCTCTGGTTTGAAAATGTTGGTAACATTAAAAATAGTCAAAGTTTTACGAATCTGATTAAAGTAATAGTCGCATGTACTTTTTGATAATTTCATCAGTTTTACTGTGATCCTAATAGTACAGTGCATGTGTAGACAATGTGAATATAACGAATTATTTGTAAAACTAAGACTGCTTTTAATGTTACCAAAAATATTTCAATTTAACTACTGTTTGTATTAAATAGATGTTTCTGATTTTTTTTTTTCGATAAATATTATTTTTTTTAAAAAAATAGATGAAACAAACTTTTCTGATAAAGCCACATACTATTATTAAATGTGCAAATTTAGTAAAGCTAACTGTTAAATCTATAGGTCTAATCTTATTTGAATATTCCTTAGACATGTATAAAACTATTTCAATTTTAAATGCCAAGTATAAATAGCTGAGTTCATTTACGTCAAAGAATATGTGTGCTCCTTAATATGTCGAAAATTGTTCCCATAAGATCTTCCGATCTTACAGCTAAACATAAATTCGATTGTTAGAAAGTTGTCAACTGTTTGTTCACTAACCTTCTTTGTCCTAAACCAAATGTATTGTGTTAACTGGCGTAATGTTACAAATCAATTTCCATAATATAAGGTGACAAACAGCTTTTCTATTTCCTTTTTATCTAACTAAATCACTATTGATAGTCTCCAGATTTTTGTTTTTAATTTTTTACTTCGCCCTTATAACTCAATTCCCACTGCTTAGGTCATTGCTTCAATTATTATGTCTAATATTTTAATAATCAGTTTCTTTCTTATGTAAACGGTTTTCTTTTTATTGGTAATTTAATATAAATGACTTAATTGTTCTGCTTGAATTTTTTATACATAACAGTTATTTCCCTAGTTTCACTTATTTTTGTTAGCATTAGTCATGCTTTGGTGCACATTTTGAAAAGATATATGTATATATATACGTAATGTATACACATTCAATTGATCATTCCCTTGACAAGTGATTCTATTTGCTAATGACCTTTAATTTTACTTCTTTCTCCTCGTTTACCATCCTTTATATACATTCTTTTTATGTGTATCTGTTAATAAAGATACATTAAAATTTGTAGAGTCAGAGAAAATAATACTTTAAATTTTACTACACTGTATTATTTCATCCAGTTGTTGGATATATTATTTTTTAATTTAAAATTTGGTTAACTTAAAGCATGGTATTTGGGATTTTCTTTTCTGCTAAGTTGGAAAATAGATTAGAAAATTTAAATTTTGTAAAACATTGAATAGTTTAGATTTCTTAGTAATCAAATTTTGCTAAAATTGATGTAATAACAATATTAGTCTATCCACTGCAGTGGTTTCAATAGAGCAAAAGAAATTATTCGATTATTCAAATCTTTAATTTTCTGTAGAAACAGGAAAATTTGTCAAATTTTAATATTCTCTTCCAATTAATTCTCAAATCCCATTTAAATAAAATCTAGTTTTTATATGACTTCTGACATATGCATACCAGCCACTGCGAAATAGTCATCTTGGCTACCATTCTTCTCTTCGATTAACTTCACACCTGATCTTTCATTTTTTTAATTTTAAAAAGTCTTCAAAATCAGTAGTGTCATTTTTATTTTTCTGTCGAGCATTATGACGGTTTATTGGGCTACGGGGTGTTTTGGAATAAAATTTTCCAAAAATTACAACTGTTTGGTAGCTTCAAAAAAAGGGAAAGCACCCCCAACAGCTATATATTTGCACTTGCATTTGAACAGGCCGATTGGAATCGTACAAACATGAAATTCATTTGAATCAGGGAGAAATTTAAACATTGTTAACATGTTTTCGCTTGATATGATATTCAAATAAGTGAATGCAACTCTTCATACTGCATGCAATCGTGAAGATACTTGAAAATTTCTTCTCCTTTCAATATTTCTTTCATTGCGTGTACGATACCTCACATGGCTCGTCCATTCCCGTCAAGCTCATCGACTGATCAGACATACACCTCCCAGTAATTCAAACTCCAAACACTTGATCATAATTTCAGTTGTATATTAAACAATAAGAAAGATTTATTCATATTTGGTATTTGAATTGAAACAAAACAAAAACAAAAAAAGCACTTCGGAACTATAAAAAACTTCATTACCTGATGGAAAAGAAGTTATTTTAAACTTAGTTTCTATTATGGCAAAAAAAAAATTATTCATACATTATGATCAGAAATTCAAATCTTTATCGAAATATTTCACTGTAGTATGAAAACACTGATAACTTACATATTCAAGTTAACTAAGAATTGAATAATATTTTACAAATATTAAAAATGAGCCAAAAAACTGTTGTAAACTATTCTCGATTCAAAACGAAAATCACAAGAACACTTATCGAATATTCCAACACATATACATTATTAAACAATGTAAACAAACACTGCAGCCAACTTAATCATGAGAATAATTTCAACTGCTAATCAATTGCTCAAGAAAACAACAATCAAGTGCACAATTGTTCACAATTTTAATGACAGAAGAGAAAAATAAACAAAACATCCGTTTTGATTGCATATTTCTTCTTTCCGCCAATGCTTCATACTCAGAGGATTTCTCTCTTTTCAAAACAATCCCATATAAATTTTAAAAGTTTATCTTTCGTTTCTTTTAAAGTAAGCACAAGCAAAGAGAAACAGAAATCCTAGCCGAGACTATTTAATCGATTTAAGAAATAGATTTTTTAAATCTTAATCAGACCCAATTAAGTGTTGAATTTAATAATAATAATTGTCAAGATGAATGGAATTTGATAATTTATGTAGTTTGCATCTATACTGAATATTCACTAGAAAATATTCCATGATAATACGGATGAGCAAACTTAGCTGACCGAATGATGCATTAAAAATACTTTTTCGCCGTATTTCGTTGCGGAAGCTCCAAAACTATCTCATGACCATTTCTGTTCAGATCTGCCCGCTTTGTATCCACAACTTATATAATTAACCGTCAGTGATTTAATAGAACATCATATAAGACCTATTTATCCATTACCTAGTGCATTACAAAACGGCGTGACAAATGAAACAGCTGTAGAATCAATTTTTCAAAGAAATGCGAAATCACTTAATCAAATGTTCTATTGATTTTTAAATGCAAATCAGGCGGTAGTCAAACATGAAAAACAAATTATTTAATTAAATACCCTGTAGTAATTTAACTGTAACCACAGGTATTCAAAATGAAATGAAAATCAATTGAAACATTCAACATATTAAAAACAATTTTTCACTTTCATCGATCATAAATCAATTAAGCATTTATTGATTTATGATCGACAAGAGATTAACCGTATTCAATAAGAAATTTATCGTATATACACCCCATTTTTTTATTGAATGGTTCATTTTATTGAAGTAATCATGCTGCTATTATTACTTGCATTTCTTTGAAAGGAAAGACTGAAAAGATTTCCAGAAAGATTACTGTTGAAAATATGAGATCATTGAGTTTGATACATTCGAAAGAGATCGTAATGAAAAGTAGAGAAACTGAACGGTGTTAGAAATTAGGAACGATTGCTGGGTGTCATACATATACCCCATTCTTCCATTAAATGCTTCATTAAAACAATAATCATGCTGCTGTTACTGTTTGCATTTTCATTAATACATAGTTGTCGCCAATCAATTAATTTCAATTCTATGCATTGATTTGTAGCATTATGATAGTAGAAACTAAAATGAACAAGTCTTTTTTTTTTTTTTTTTTTCATTTTCCGATTTTTCGAAACAGAATACTGCATGTATCGTACAGATTATAACTTTTTATGAAATTATTTTGGTTAAACCTGACAAAAAGTAAAGGTTTTAAAAAAATACTTTTTCCAAGTTGCATCCCAACTTTGAACCAATTCTGTAATTGCACTATTGTAAAAACTACATTTCATTTCCGCATCAGAATCGTTTCTCTAAAATTTAAATATGGGCATCTTCCACCAAAGATTCTTATTAATATTTTATTTAAATTACTTTATTGGAAACTTTTTTTGATATAAGATACTATCAACAACACGAAAGATCTTTTAATTTATTTCAATTTATTTTTTCCCGTCTCGCATATTTTAGATTGTAAGTTATGAAAAAGCAAGAAAAGATGGAAAACTTGCTGTAGGAATTGTGAATAATATAATAGTTGGCATTTCGACAAAGGCATAATCACTTTTGATTTTTTCTAAATCATCCGTGAATTCCACTTCTTTTGTACGCTCTAGCGTGTACTGCTTAACATATAGCCCGTGTAAAACATTCTGAAAACATGGGAATAAGTTTTGATAATTTTCAATAGAAGAAAATGGATTAATTAGACGTCGAATGTTTCAAAGGTTCCAAGACATTGAAAACTTTCATATTACAACGTATACAGAGTTCTATATCATTTCCGATCTAAGCTAAGTGAAATAATGGAAATAAACTAAATTTATTTAAGAGAAAAGTATTTACACAAATCCTTACACGTTAGGTTAATTTAAGAAACAAATGAAATAAATAAAAACAGAATAAGAAGAATAGCCTTACGGCAAATTTTCTTATAAATGATGTAAACTCCTCGGGCATTATTGACTTTTTTACAACCCAATCCTCACCAACAGCCAAGAAAATTTTCAGTCCAGCAACGTCGATAGAAATACGTGTCAAAGCGTCAGACAAAATTCTAAATTGATCAGCTTTAATCAGATAATAATTATCAACCAATACTTTGCGACAGCACAATATATTACAGTAATAAAACAAAAAACTATCGAAGTACTTGCCAATTCTATAAGGTAACAAAAAATAACTTGAAATGGACTGGAGGATAATTGGCACGAGATAGATGGGTTTTCGGACAACCACTTTTCTTCACACCAAAAACACTCCCATTCAAACGTTCAAACCTTGAACCAACAATAAACCTGAATAGAAAAAGAGAAAAAAAGTGATTTAAAGTATTATACGAAAAATGTATTTTTCATCATAAAAGCAGAGAAACTAACCAGTTACGTATATTACCACGTGTAAATTCGCAGCTTTCACAGAAAGAACGTGCATTAACGATATCAACTGGTCGTGATGTAGTTGACTTAAGCTGTAAAAGAAACGCTAAAGAGAAATAATATTTCATGAAGCACTCTTTCAAAATGCATTGCTCTTCTTATCACTCATCACTTATCAGCAAAAAAATAATATAATTTTGGAAATTTCCCATTGTACTACATTCTAATTAGCTTTCCAGACGTTAAAAGCTTTTTTTTTTTTTCTTTTTTCTGTATTAATGATAAAGAAAAGAACATCCCGAAGATTATAAAAAAAGAAAAAACGATCAGAAAATACCGGTACTGCATGAATATTTGAAGTCTAAATATAACCATTTATTCTTTTCGTATCTTTCCTTAACATATCTTTATTTTATCATCCAATCAATAACAAACTTACGAAAAAATCGTATTCACGAGGAGGTAGGTTTTCCACTCTCTTTCTTTTCTCTTCCTGAAATATATGCAGTAAGAAATATAGAGCGAAAAATTATTGGCTTATTCCACTAAAATCTTGAAATTGGTCAAAAAATGTCTGCTTCCCGATTCAATTTCAAGATTGTTAAAGAATACTGCTTCTAGTAAACCCAATAAAAGAACAATGAGAACATTGCTCTAACGCTTTACGAATCTTACCCTTGTTTCGGTGTTGCATAATACTTAGAATGATTAAAGTATTATCCACCAAAGATGTTCTGAATAATCCTTGTACGATGTACATGACCAATATTCTAATTTATTAATGATGCACTTTTTTTTTTTTTCTATACGATAAAGAGAATAATGATGAAAAACAGAAGGGAATCAAAATAAAACGAAAGGGTAAAGTGACCATTATCAGTCAGATTTCCTAAATATAAGTGTTAGAATCTTATTGTTATTTTCCTACCTTCATTTAAGGAACCTAAAGTTAAAGAAACGGTATTTCTTATTAATGTTTCCTACACAAAGCATGAAAGAATTTGCATGTATCTAAACTATTTAGCATAAGCTTTTCGAGGAAAAAATACTTCAGTCATTTACATCTGGCATAATTGCTGATCCCCGTGGATACTTCTTGCGATAGTCATGAAATCCGATAATATTCATACCATCCTGAAATGGATTTGAGAAAAGTGATTTCTAAAAATACAACACTAGTGGTCATAACATGGAGAAACGTACCGTTGTTGAATTTGGATTATTCGATACTTGAATTATAGAATATTTATCCTCGCCAACAAAAAACACACTTCTAAAACAAATCGTCTTATGTATTAATCAGATATACCCTAATACATTCAGTATTCATATCATACAAAACAGGAATAGCTCAAGTGAGAAAGAGACTAAATTTCTTTAATTGAATTTTTAATTTTCCAATACACATGAACAAGAAAAGCTAAACTGTAGAGTGAACAAACTTTTTCACTGATTGCAATTTTTTGTTGGTATTATCATTTGTCTTTGCACCAACTTTCCGAATTTTTACAAAACTCACATTATCATATTTTTGAGCAGACTGAGTTACAGCTCTAAAATTTCATGCATTGTACTACAAGAAAAAACATTTTTTTGGAAAAAATAACAGCAGAATCTGAAAATAATAAAAAAAAATTAAGCATTATCCATGAAGCATGACTAGGAAGGTTCTGACATAGTTGCTGATTGGACCTACTTTGTTTTAACTGGATTCGTAGTACTTGCTGAATTGATATCTAGCTGAGATATTCCAGCTGGGCTTGAGATATTGACAGCATTTGACAAGTATGGAGATGTCATTGACTGATTTGGAATTTTATTGGTGGAATTCGGACGGTTAATTTTTCCAATTACAGAAAACTAAAAAAATGCTTTCTTCAAGACCAAAACAATAATATATCTCCTGAATTAGCAAGATTCTAATTCATCCCCTAGATGTAAAAAAAAAAAAAAAAAAAAAAAAAAGAATTACAATTTTGAAGTAAAAGACCTCAGTCCATGAAAAAAACTTTATAATAAGTTAACTAATAACAAGTTTTTAATAATAAGTTAAGCAAAACCTTAGTAATTAATAATAATAAACTTTATAATAAGTTAAGTAAAACTTTAATAATTAATCAAAACTACTCCTGAGATTTACATCAATTAAGAGATATTTGTGCAAAAAAATTCAATTATTAGATGAATAAGTAACCGACATATAACAGTCTCTAAAAATTGGTATAAAAACAGCTACCAGATCGAAACAAACGAAGTTGAGATGAAATATGGTTCTTAAAGAAATTTTAGAATTAAACGACAATAAATACGGTTAGCGATAAAGAGTTGACAAAGAATTTCAGAATAAATTATGAATAAGCAGTTATAAGGCACATTAATTAAAAGAATCGCTAACATTATTTCGAATGTGACTTGATATATGACGGTTCCTAGGCTCTCCTTTTGCCAATAATACAAACGAATGTGGTTGTTGTATACAGTGTTGATTACCAGCTTCTTGCACCTTTAACGATGTTCGTATTTAGTAATGTATGATTCAAAATTCTTAACTTCATTGACATGGCTTTCAATCGCTCATTTTAAACCAAATTTCTTGACTGAATGTTCATCAGTCAGCATGAAAACAAAAGAAAAAATTTTCCGTACCGGAACTTATGAAGTCCAAGGGAAAGAAATAAAGCTAAATAACAGTTCAGTGTCACTTAAGCCACTGTGATTTGTTGCGTCTTATCTAGAATAAAGTCAACTGCACATTTAAGAAAAAATCTTAATTTTTAATAAAAATAACGACATCAAATAAATATTTACAACAAACCGGAAATGATGGTAAAGTAATTGAATTGCTCAAATCAGACTCTTCGCATTCCATTAAAGCTTCTGCACTTATTGGACCAGTGGAGCTCCTAGCATCAGGCAAGTTAGGTATGACTAAAATATTAATTCAATTTATAGCAAAAACCTGGTTTTTAGTTAAAACGTGATTGATAAGTATCTGGATTATTCAATTACTGTTCTAGAATGTCTTCAAGCTTATTTTCCAAATGTTTCACTCGAATCCATTACAAAAAAAAAAGCGGAAAACTAAAAGACCAAACTAGTGACAATCTGCTACTATCGAGTTATGATTGAAAAGTTCTACCACATACTAGTTTTCCGCATTCTTTGTAATAGATTAAAAAGGAATATCAACTGTCATGACTAAATTTTGTTGCAATATTTGAAAACCACTGATAACTTGAAGATTCGTATGTAAAACATTTGACTGAGATGATCTGCACTCATCATTGGCCTGAGATTTCCTTTCAATTTGTTTTTGTCGTTCTTCCTTACGAAGTTTATATTTATTTGCAGCCATTATCAATATAGCATCACTAGCTTGCTGGAAATATTTAATTAACGTAAAAACAATTTCAAACAAGTTATACTTGAATTTGTTCAAATTAGTATTATGCGAAAATGTATATTACACAGAAGAAAATAAAGACAGCTATGGCCATTTTTAAACAAATTTAAACAATAAAATTCTTTAATGATTGCATCGGAAGTTTCTGTGTATTGATAAGTTATTGAAGGAGTTAAAACAGAGTGTGCTTCAGTTTGTTGCATCGCGTGACGACGTTTGCGCATTTCGTTGGCTTCTTCTTGTTTTCTTGTAAGCACAGCATCCAGTTTTCGTTTTCTCCTTTCCTTCGCCAGCTAAATCATACATAGATTTGTCAAGAAAATCAAAAACAACAAATCTTAACAATTTTTGTAATGTAAAGTTATTTTACAAAGTAATGTAAATATAGCTAAGATATCGAAAAATGACATTATGCTATCATCTAACCACACTGTCGTGGAATGTATTGACTTCCAGATATTTTATTTTGCCTCAAACTTGGGTAATTAAACCAACAAATCAACATTATAACAACGAGTAACGAAAGATATGATATAATTATAAAACATTAAAATGATATCAAAAACCACTCCAAAATGTAGAACGAATAACTGTAATGGAGGTGGTTGGTTTATAAAGAGAAACTGAACTGACCAGATATTTGGCAGAGGGCATTTAACTGATGTGAAACAAAGATTGCTAACAAAGAGTTTTTTATTGTGTGAGAAAAAGGAATTAGCATAATAGCTTAAATGATCTACACATAGATTAGTTATAAATGCGAATTTCGCATTTGGACAATGAGTTATCAGAATCTGACAAAGGTATTCGAATTTGAATGTAATTTAAACGTTCGTTTTTTACGACATACACTAACCAACTATCGCCCTTCTACTAGTTTTAAGATAGCTTACTGTAGCACGATAGCTCAGAGACGTTTTAATAGAAAGCCTATTCAGAGGACATTGCCACAAAGTTCTAACAAGGCTAGATATGTTTACAAAGTATTACAAGAGAACTTCGTCTTCTTCGAAATTTTTCCCGAAAACAAAACGAATGAAAGTGTAAGATTTAATAAATTGTTTTCGCTATACTAATTGGAAAGCAAAAGTAGATAAACTTGATAAATAAACCTTCGCTGCAAGCTCTTTTTTATCCAATTTTTTTTCTGCCTCACTTATCATTTTCAGTTGTCCCACATCATCCAAATCTGCGCTTTTTATCCGTACTTCATCGATGAGTGCATGAATACTTCCCGCACATAATATCAAACTTTCCCATTCATTCGATCCTTTACTCATTGATGCTTTTACTGCTTCTAATATCAAACTCCCAACATGTATGCATTCTAAACAAAGAACATCTGCGTAATTTCAAACTCCAATAGCACAATCCTAACCAACCAAAAACCTCATTTTTCCAATCACAATCATTGAACTTTCATTCTGTAGTAATAGGAATGAAAAGAAACCATTTAACTGCAGCAATTCCATCACTTTCGCAATCAGGTTCATAATCGAGAAACCAACGGTACTCAATGCATTCGCTTCTATGATATTACCTTCCAGGCGAAGTTTCTGCTCACGTTTCATACACAAATCCATTACAATCACTGCAACATAATCAACTTATCAATTTATAACAGTTCAAATATTACGAATAAACTATCTTACATGGAAGATAATTAACTTAACTAACTTATTGTAATACCAACTACTTCGAACAACATGGTCTAAAATACTTTCAATTTAATTGACGAATATGTTAAACTGAATGATTCAGCACACTTTTTCATAACATCCTTGAATAGTTACAGTGAAAAATAACTCGACGACCCCTCATAATAGAATTATCAAAAGTAGGGTGACAAAAGTGAGGCTAATTTATTCATTAAAAAGATTTATAAGTGGTAAAGTGTGATACATTCTTGAAGATTACTTTTCCAGTTGGTTACGGGAACCACTGCATTGTACGATTCCCGAAATTCATTATATGCAATTAATGAAATAAAGGTTTTTAGTTCTTTCCTAATTTAACGCAAACGAAAACTGACTGCTTGATACAGTACCCTGCACTTGTTTCTTCGGATGCACGGTATCCTGCGTTCTTTGAATTAATGAAAGTATCCCTGAATTATCAGCGGATGCGTCGGAATTCGTTGAGGAATAGGCGGTGCTGAAACAAACATCTTCAGATAATACAAAAAAAGTCCAAATTAAAGACATTTAATATCACTTCACCTTATTTTTTCCAAAATACAAACGTTCCAATTCGTTATTTTGTAAAAGATTCTATCGAAGGATTATCAAAAAGGAGAATTTATGAACTTATTAAAATAATTCAAACAAGCCCTAGGTTTACATGAAACTGCATACCGTTGGGAATAAACTGTTGCAGTTTCAAAGCTGTTGTTGTTTGTTGATACCATTTCAGCTGTATTATCTAGCTCACCATTCTGGCTTGACTTCAAGTCTTTCGTATCGTCTACTTCATCTTCTTTACCAAAAATTACTTCCCAGTCATCACTGTTAAATGTTGGAGTACTGCTTATTTCACTCTCCCCATACATACTGTTGACAATCTAAACTTTCTAATAGTAATGTACATTTGAAAGTCTTATTAACATAATGCAATTAAATGTAAATAAAGGAAAGTCTTAACAACCGATTTTGCATCTGCTACACAGAGAACGCAAAAAACTCAAATCTGCTACCATTTTTCACTATCATACATCTATTAACGATGATTGATATCAATAATTTTCATAAATGTGTGAAATTGTAGATTTTAGAATAATTTGCTTTCCATAAAAGCATATCAGCTTGATATGGTAAAAAAGTGGGCATCAAGAAATTTCCTACCTACCTTGACTATACTATAGATATGATAAACGATAAAGACCATAATAAATACTATAAAGTTGAAATAACCGAAGTATTTTTAGAATACAGAAATATATCGAAATAATTTACGTTACATTGTAGAAATATCACGGAATAACTAAGTTCCTAATATAGAAATTTGCATTACAGAGACTGTTTTATTTCGAATATTTTCCAATCAAACATTTCATTCCAAAAACAAAAAATAAAATAAATTTATGGTCAACAATATAATGAATCATTTACTCCATTCATATGCAGATTTTTTCAGCTTATATTTAATAGTCAAAACGTCACAAGCATTTGGTAAATTCATATGTAAATTCATCCCGTCTTATAACTAAGCTTACATTCAGTATTAAAATATTTTTAAGAAAATTTCTAACTATATAAGGAGTATGGATCTTCACTAAACAATGGTCGACTCGGTTCAATTCATTACAACTATCTACAAGCTCACCAGATCCACACATAATCTAATGGATACTAGTGATCGACTCTACCCGTAATATTTTTGGATAATAATCTTTTAACATATACGAAAAATAAACCATCAGTAAAAATTTTATCATCACTATTCGTGCTAAATGTCAGACACATCAATAATCAGATTATAAAATTTACTGTGATAAATATAATATTAAAAGAAAAACAAAAAAGTGAAATATTTGTAAAAGATAAACAGAACTTCCTTAGCACAGATCTACCATTATTAATCACCAATCCTACTACTATTAATATTAATCTTTTCAGTAAGATAATTCTGAAGTGCTGAATAATTATAGTTGTTAACAATATGTAATCATTTGCGATAACATACTTTTTGCTAAATATAAAAATAACAAATATCAAATGAAATAAGAAATTAACAATTAAATGAAATTGCACTCTTCATATTGTCGAAAATATTTCACTCATAAAATTTACCCCACAATAATTACTTGCAACCAACTGAGAACTGGAATGTATCAATGAATAATGAGCGGATATGGTTATATATACGTACTTCCTTGCATGGGTGCCTGTGTCTGTGTGCGCATGCATGTGTGTTATAATCATCGCTGCAAACAGTAGAGTGAATATTGCATAATGTGTAAAGAAAAACGATAAGCTTATAGATCAACCTCGTTCTTTCCCTAAGGATAAGTGAAAGATGAGGAATAATTACAGTACATATGTAATACATAGAAAAGAAAGAAGGTTGTTAGCAGATACAGAAGTGTCGCAAATTTTAATTTCGCTAAACTCTAGTCAGAGTAATAAAATAAATTTAAAGGAAAACTAGTGATTCATTTTTAAATCGTAAACAATCTTGCGGCATCATAAATCTATTTGTCAGAATTTTGATTCCTTAGAGTATTTTTCATGTGATTCCTTATCATTTTATCCAACTCATAATTTTGTTTATTTCAGAACTGGTACCTAATAATAATGTCTTATTTCAAATTCATCGTAAGATCTTATTGTAAACACACCCAATTCTTAACACATATATAAACACAACATTAACAAACAAGGATTCATTATTACTATTATTACTACCAACTTAATAACTCCAGAAAAGAATAATTATCCTTTTTTTATTTCTATTTCTACAACTCAGATTATTGGTATTGTACGTTTCATAAAAATAAAGATACGACAATCTCACTGATGTATCATAAAAGTTAGCATAATTTACGCCATTTTACTTGATTCCACGACAAAATCAGCAGCCTTCTTAATATATTAATTGAACGACTTATTCTACAATCAAATTAAGTCCTTCAAATTCTTGTAATTCCCTGATCAACGACAAACCTTTCACGACATTTTTTGTACCATGAGCCGAGACCCATGTCTAGCAACATTATCGCAAGCATCCAACTGGCAAAGGAAAGGTTAGTCAATCTTCTTACAGAAATAAATTTAATGGAGTTTAAATCACCGGAACCAAATATCATATTAGAACAAAAGGAAGATTTCTATATAACAAGGAAAAGATTACTCGAAGACAAACTTCAAAGAATTCAATTATGCGTCACTGTGCTTAAATCTACCAATGATAAGCAGTTCAAATACACCCAACAAATTGTCACAATAAAAAGAAAAATATGAAGACTTTATTATTAATAGCTGTGATATCGTTAATATTAAAACAGATGATAGCTATTAACAACTGCTACTGGATTTCCGGTATACCGTTTTGTATTCCTAAAAAATGAAAATGTGAAGTTGTTAATAAGAATGCCACACTTCGTAAGCTGCATGTGCACACACGCACTCACATAAGAATATCTATAAAACATTACACGAGCAATATGTATCAAAGTCTTTTTCAGATTATCACTATCGATAGTATCAGATCATGTAGCTACTACCGCAGCATGCAAATATCTGAATGTTAGAAAACAAATGAATGGAACCGCATTGATTTCAATCTTCTCCTAAAAGACAGACAAGAACTGAAACACAATACTTCTATGGATGGTTAGAAGTAAATGCCAATCAACATCAAATTTCGCATTGACTGAAGGAGAAATATTCTTGCACAATGGAAAAAGACTAGTTTCTCAACTTGATAATGTAGAATTGTATGGTATAAAAAAGAAAGCGTATAATAAATATTATTGTTTTATGGAAGAAGTCAAAGAAATGGATCTAACGCTGTCGTGAAAGACGAAATATTTAAATTATTATACCCAAAACTAACAAATTCCTCTTATCTAATTCCTAAATCTAATTTACATTTGCAAAATTCTTCTCACACTTGATGATTCAATTTCCGAATATTTTTACCTTTGTAATTCAGCTATGTTTCATACTAATCTATTTCTTCCTTTCACACACTAAAACTAATCTTGTTAACAATCTTGTTTTTTCATCCATGAGAAATTCTTCCATCTAATTTCCATTCGTTAAATCAGTCTTATATATAAACCAACCAATCCTTCTATAATCATTTACTTTATGTTTTGGGTGGTTTGGGATGCGTCTAATACTTTATAATTTTGTATTATTTCACCATTTTTATATTATTGCATTTATATAGTTTACGCGTTTGTTAAACGGTGTAGCATCCGTACGATATGTATAAAGCGCTATTATTTGCTTCATGTTAAATAAAGGTTTAATTACCCAAGTTTGAGGTTTCACGACAAACGCCACTGGGTCAAATGCTATCCAAAGAAGAAACACATCAACAGCACGAAGCCAGAAAAAGAATTATTGAAGAAAAAATACTGCGTATCGAGCTATATGCAAGCACTCTCTAAACTGCTAATGCAAAATGGATTGAACATGTTCAACAGTCATCACCATCAAAGAAACAAGAAAAAGGGAAATAGGCCAAAATGGTTTATGGTTAAAAAGGTATTTCAAACCTAATAAATAAAGATAAAGAAATTGTTAGAACTCTAATTATGTACAAAAATGATTCAGAGTTAACCTTCCAACGCTTAAAACAAGGTGAAATAAAACAGGAACTAATCCAAAAAACCTTCAGTCCAAAGTTAATTTATCTCAAACACCATTACCTGTATTTATGGTAACCGAGGGTCTTAGAGTAGTTTTGAAGCCCCAGTTCACTTATAAAATATACCAGATATCCAAAAGTTGAACTATTTGGTGTTATAAAGGTGAAGTTATGCTGGCTATCAGGGTTATGGCATAACTCCTGAGAATTATAAAATTATAAGAAAGGTCCTTATTGAGAAATCCCCATAGTCATACATTATCAAGAAATCGCTCTACAACGAATTGCAGAGAATGGAAAGCAACAACTGAAGCTATCGAAAGATTACCCCGACAGTTTGAAGCAGTGAGCAAAAATCTTGAACAAGGAAGTATCAAGATTATTATTGAAACTAAACTGCCAGTTTTGATCCTGGATAAAATATAACAACAAAAGAAGGGTCCAGTCGTTAAACAATTCTTAGCGAAATTGATTCAAAGAAGTGGAGAAATTAAACGAAGTCAAACTTTCGATAATACGAGGGCAACTAAAATTAAAGTTAATCCACGATTTTCTCCAAAAAAAAACCTTAAGCTTTAACCATAACAGATTTATCTCTGACACCCAATTACAAATGAAGGTAGAATGTAAAGGAAACTGGTAAAACTAAAAGATCCTGTACCTCCTGCAACTAGGATCATTGAGACAACGAATGTCCAATCTACCAATCTTCAAACAAAGAATACAACGACTGAAGGAGCTCAGCGATCGAAACTGGGACATACAGCAACCAATTGTAAAGGAATAAAGTGAATATGTTTCTATTGCAAGAGTATTCATAAGATGGCATTACGTCAAGACAGATATAACAGTCAAGAAGATAAATTCGATAAAAGTGATCAGTCCAATATTACAACAACGGATACCAAATAACAAGGAAGTGTTTTTTTTTTGTAAAGTTGAAATTACTAACTTAAATATGCCTGATATCCCAAATAAGGTTGTAGTTTTATTTGATAGTGTACACAAGCAACTTGTATATCAAAGACGATTAAACTTACAAATAATTTATTACGAGAATGTGAAGTTTGCAAGGTTCAGTGAAAGAAATCCTCAAATCTCATTCCGTGTCAAAGTATGATTTGTAACAATTTCCTAAATTGTACCAATTACCGTGGTCGATTATTTAGCAGGTAAAGTAAGGATAATATCAATAAAACATGATACTCAGACATTTTGAAACAGTGTCCACTTAGAGAAGAAAATAGAAGTTGGAAACAACCGATTAAATTATTGGTATTGACTACTTCTTTAAATTTATTTCACTCGAGAAGGTTCAAGTTACAAATTGAGTTCTCATTTATACAATAATGAGTCCAGTGACTGCGAGATGTGTCGTGGAATGTATTGACTTCCAGATATTTTATTTTGCCTCAAACTTGGGTAATTAAACCAACAAATCAACATTATAACAACGAGTAACGAAAGATATGATATAATTATAAAACATTAAAATGATATCAAAAACCACTCCAAAATGTAGAACGAATAACTGTAATGGAGGTGGTTGGTTTATAAAGAGAAACTGAACTGACCAGATATTTGGCAGAGGGCATTTAACTGATGTGAAACAAAGATTGCTAACAAAGAGTTTTTTATTGTGTGAGAAAAAGGAATTAGCATAATGGCTTAAATGATCTACACATAGATTAGTTATAAATGCGAATTTCGCATTTGGACAATGAGTTATCAGACATTTGTCAAAAGTATTAGAATTTGAATGCAGTTGAAATGTATCGTTTTTACGACAGGAAGAGGATATAATGGAAGGAAATCTAATCAGTTCGATGTGAAACTGGAGGATCCTAACGAAACATTAAGCACACAAGGTGTTGCACTATTCAAAATAAAGATCAGACTAATGTAGTGCCTATTAATGACGACAATCCGAAATCGATTGATTTTGAAAAAATAGGTACACAAGAACAGCCTAATTAAAATGATGAAGAAGCCTTAAAACAATTTCGGGGAAATATAAACAAATCTAATGGAAGACACCAAGTAGCTTGGCCGTGGAAAGAATCGAGAATCAAGTTAAACAATAACTATGGATTGTGTCTAAGGACGCTTACAATGTCTATTAAGAGACTCCAAAACAACGAACTTTTTACGTATTGCTATGAAATTATAAAAAATTTTTCTTACGGAAAGAGTTGTTTGGTTAGGCATAGTCGAAATCTTTATGGTAAATTGGTGGATTTGTTCAGAGAATTTCGTTTTATTAATTCCCGAGTAGTTTTTGTAATGGATATTTTGTAGCGAGAAGTCAACGAATATGGTTTTATTCCTTTATTCGTGACTTACAATATAATATAATAATAATACTGAAATTAAGTATAAAGTAGGAAGAATAATGAAGGGTGATCCGTGGACAGTTGAAGTTTTGAGTGTTTCGTCCAGAGTGTCCTCCTTTGTATTAGTATATGGTTTATATATGTTAAGACGTGAAAATGGTTTACAGACAGACATTACACCGTCTATACATTACTTCGCCTTACATTTGCATACGTGTTTATAATATAGGGATTTTAATAAGATGAAAGATTAGTTAAACGATTGCAACATTGTTAACAAGTATTTTTTTGGTGCTTTGCGATATTGAAATTCGCGACAATGAAAAGTACATACTTAAGAGAAACTTGTCAAATATTGGGCGAGTACAACAGAAACTCTGGATACATTTTGGAAAATATGGAGAGATCAGCACTTAATTAGTTTGAGAAACGTACACAAGGAGAACATAAATCTCCGAAAAGCGCAGAGATTAGCATTAGAGCCCTTATTGAAGGAGGAATTGTGAAATTTAAAAAAAAAAAAAAAAAAAAAAACGATGTAGTAGAATTAATAAACTGCACGAAAATATTTACAACGAAGACGACAATAAAAGTAAAATAATTTTAAAACGAATACTACGAAAGGCAAAAAAACTAGTAGTAAAAATGGCCTGATCTTAAGAAGTTCTCGGGAAGTAGAAATTATATCGTGATATTGATGGTGACGAGAAGACTCTGGGAAGACTTGGACCGTTGCTATCAAAATCAACGCAATTCCCGTAGATAAAGAATTACCAGCTGATAATAAAGAAGTAATATGAAAGTTCCACACCTCTGCCAATTTCACTTGGTCAAGCTTCGGTAGACATACTGGATATATTATGGATAAGCATATGTTAAATTGATTCCTGGAAAACTTTGTAAACGATGTAACATTATACTTTTTGAATAGTCAGGATTTCCATCATCCATCAAAAAGAATGAAGGTGACCGGACCATTCAAGAGAATCCTTTCGCTCCCATGTGAGTAAAGGAAAACAATATGGGCTCAAACGTTGAGTGGCTATATTCACGTGTTTCGTCACAAGAGTCATTCACATGGAAGTCATGAAATACATGAATGTTGAGGTTTTTATGCAAGGTTTATCAGCCGGAAGCGACGTCTAAAATTTGATATCTAAAATCTGTGGCGTCCATAACGCCAAGAATCTTGTAGCTTCTTAGTACAAGAGAATAGCAATCAAGAATTAGAGAAACTAAGGTAGAAATTCATTACATCAATAGCAAAGAGGTGTTTATGAATGGTTGAAGTAGTAAAAAGAACTTTATAAAGAACAGCAAAGAAAAACCTCATGGGAAAAGAATTCAACGTTATTATAGCCGAAATTAAATGCATAGTAAACAAAAAACACTGGAAGAAACATTATAAAAGGGAAAAATAGTACTAAGTCCAGGGATTTTCTGTGATCTAAAGATGTGAAGAATTCATTGGAGTATGAGAACAATTTACATGAGAATGAGGAAACGAAAACTTCAAATGTCTCACTCGTCAAGAATTGATCAACCATTATTAGAGTACTAGGAAAGATTGCAACGTTTGCGAAAATATGGCAAGAGGAATATTTGGAAGAATTAAGAAAAAATAACGCAAAAATTGCATAAAATTCCTCGCATCATGTATGCCGTAGATCGATCAATGGCGAAATATTATTACTGGAAGGGGAAGGTGGTTCTAGAAATTCTTGAAAAAAGGGTAGAAAAATTCGAGTAGAAAAACTGATCGAGAGAAGACGAATTTGTTGATCTGTTATCGCGGGATATCGAACGGTACACAGTTAAATCGTACTGTGGTAAATTTGTATTCATTAGAGATCCACTCTGCAAGCCCAGACACAATAACTTCTCTCCTCCCGAGAATGTTGTTCCTAACGAAGTGGAAATGAAGAAACAGTATCCTTTTTGTCTAAGGCCAGCATTCTCCTGCTTCAAATCACACATATTGCTTATACATTGCACTACAAAACGCTATACCAATGTACAGGTCCTGAAGACGCTATTCCTTGTGATCTCGTATGAAGACTGTGCTCTCACTTGTTAAAACATATGATCCTATCGTCATCAGATTCATTTTATAAAATCCTTCGGCTAGATTGGTTATAATAACGAAATGGTGTTGGCCAGTGAGTCAGTGAATTAGCAGGAATAAAGGCAATTAAGAGAGGCAGAGATGAAAGAGACAGTAATAGAGCTGTTTACAAGGAAGAGTTCTCTCAATCGGTCAATAAATATGCTGTACTCTCTGGACATAGACGATGAAGAGAAGTAGAGAAATTAATCAATAACGTTTGACTGGTACGGGAAGTTGATAGATAGGAGCTTAATGTTCTCTGAATTAGGATTTCTACATGATGAAGAGATGAAGCGGTGATATCGAATAGGTTTTTGAATAAAAGGAGGGAATTACGAGTTGATTATGATAAGAGTAAATTTTGTTGATTAATATTGTATTTATATATGCAAGAATTGGGCGTGACTATAATAAGATGTTATGATGAATTTAAAGCAAGAAATTATGACAGGTATCAACAAATCCTGTAAATAAAATCATGGATTGGACAAGAAATCACAGTTCTGACAATGATTTATAATACTTTGAGATTGTTTACTATGATTTTGTTCTCAAAATTCTATCAAATGATTTGTGATACTGTAAGATTATTTATAATAATTGGTTAGTTTTTTGTTTATATTATTATTTTGGTTAGAGTTTCGCGAAATTATAATTCGCGACACCTTGGATTCATTTCTTATGTGATTACGTTTGTTATTTTTTTTTTCTTTTTTTTTTGAGATTTAGAAATTTGATTCCTTAGAGTATTTTTCATGTGATTCCTTATCATTTTATCTAACTCATAATTTTGTTTATTTCAGAACTCTAATTTGTTTATTTCAGAAACCTAATAATAATGTCTTATTTCAAATTCATCGTAAGATCTTATTGTAAACACACCCAATTCTTAACACATATATAAACACAACATTAACAAACAAGGATTCATTATTACTATTATTACTACCAACTTAATAACTCCAGAAAAGAATAATTATCCTTTTTTTATTTCTATTTCTACAACTCAGATTATTGGTATTGTACGTTTCATAAAAATAAAGATACGACAATCTCACTGATGTATCATAAAAGTTAGCATAATTTACGCCATTTTACTTGATTCCACGACAAAATCAGCAGCCTTCTTAATATATTAATTGAACGACTTATTCTACAATCAAATTAAGTCCTTCAAATTCTTGTAATTCCCTGATCAACGACAAACCTTTCACGACATTTTTTGTACCATGAGCCGAGACCCATGTCTAGCAACATTATCGCAAGCATCCAACTGGCAAAGGAAAGGTTAGTCAATCTTCTTACAGAAATAAATTTAATGGAGTTTAAATCACTGGAACCAAGTATGATATCCAGCCTACTGGTTTTTGCGTGATTTATTTTCACTTCATTTTCTCAATAGCTTTCTTCATCCCCCTCTTTTCTAAAACATGCTTCTTCGAAAAAAAAAACCATTTATAACATGTAAAAATAAAATTGTATTAAATCCATAGAACTAAAGATTGTCTTATTTGAGCATTCCTTAGACAAATGTCCCAATGATCACATAAGAATCATTTAATATTCATCTTCGGCTTATTTACATTGTTACTTATGTGCATTGTTTATTAACAAAGAATAAGTTTTGAATTTGTTTATAATTATCAGTTCCTTATTTAGTTGATTTCTTTTATTGTTGTTCCTTACCAACTGTAAATTATATTAGAATTTGACAAAGTTAATAACACTTTGTTTAGCTGACCTCTTCTGCCTTTATTGCGATTAAGTTTTCTGAATCTGGCATCCACTACCTTTTTGCAATTACTTCTTCAAGCTTTCTAATATTGTTCGATAACTACGACCAGCAACAATCTTTATTTCAATAAAATAAGGATTAACAAGACGTGGCCTTCTCTCCAAAACTCCACAATCTACTCGAATCAGCCCTATTTCACGACACCCTAGTCTTTTGGTTAATTCAAGTTTTTAGGTAACTTTCTATTACTGCATGCCTTTTTGTTGACTTATTTATTAAATGTCATTTTGATTACTCTATTTATTGCATGTACAACAAGTATCGGCAAATGAAATCCAGTGTAAACAGTGTATATGAACTGCTAGTTGAATTCCCGAATTATTAATCCACTGGTAATTAACAACCTTATTCAATGAATTAATTTTTCAAGTTTAAGTTGATTTAACTAAATTCTTAAACAAGAGAGAGGAAAAATTATCGGATTAAAGATGATTTTTCCACTACGTAGTGCACAATGAGTAAAATGTAACAGTGCGCACAATTATATAATAACATCAAAAAAAAAAAAAACAATTCACGAGATTCTATGAGTTTTTCATCAATTAAGCGTCTAGTTAAATAAGCGTACATTTCAATGACCTTTAAAAAGCATTGCTCGAAGAAGACTCGAAAATAGAATGACTGTTTGCTACAAAGGACTGATGGTGACATGTGTTCACGACGAAATGTCTCACACACAATAAGGCTCACTCAGTGCTGAATACGCAGTACAGTTGTGAGTTACCTTTATAGCTTGTTTACAGGGACAGGTAAGCTTTCAGCAAATCAACGAATTCCATGAGAACATTATGCCTTATGGTACTTCGCGGTTGGTCAATCTTTCTCTTCTGCAGTAATTTCCTTGTTTGGAATTTTTTATGCTGGAGTTGAGATGCCTAAATTTCTGGTTCACCTTTTTATGTATTTTTTGGCTTACTTGTCTTTACATTTATCATTTTCTGATTATCTTCTTTGGTAGCACACTGAAGTGGCTGAGTTGTTGTAAACTTTCATTTTTACTTTTACAATTAAATTTTTACTATTAAATGATTTCAATTTTATTGCCAGATGCTACTGTTAATTCACATTTGTTCATTAATTCATTTGATCGGATAATGTGTAGTGATATTACTTATTCGATATCTCATCACTAGACACAAAAGTTAAAGGAATTAAGCGCATGAATGAAAATTTTTTTCTTGATAGCACGATATGTGTTCATTGTTAATTTCAGAAATTGAAAGATGTCTCGACATCGCAATATTCGTAATATGAATTACGACGAGGGTTAGTATTGTTGCTGTTGCCTTTATTAGTAATAAATAGATTAATGACAGTTTTTAACATAGATTATTTCTGAAATATCCTACCTTTCTCGTACATTCATATCAGTCTTGCGCTGTGATGCATGCCTTTCTATCACATTATAGTAGAGCTTCTGGCGTGCTTTTGGATATATCTATAAGAACATTATATCCTATGAAAATATTCTGGAGGAATAGATAATGGGTGAATGGAGAATTCTCATTACGTAATTTCATACTTAAGAGCGAGATGACGAAGATGATGAAGAATTCCATCGATACAGTATCTCAACAGATGATGAAGTTGCTTCAGGTGCAGGTATTTCTTTCTTTACTATTTTTATTTTTTGCTATACAATGCAGTAGTAATTTTTTAGGACACTGATATGCTTGCCACATGATTTTTTTGCTTAACATATATTTGTCACTTCACGAAATTTATAATTACTATTCTTCCGTAGCATTGTTTGCTTTTTTGTCGCTGGAATTACAAATTTGGCCCTCAGGAACTTTTCTATGGAGTAATATGTTCGTTCTTATTTGTTCTGCGTAGCAACTTGTCATTTGTTGTTTCAATGAAACTTAATGAACTCACATTATTTGTTTACATAAGTACATTATGATATAGTGCATACTTACACTTTCTGGTTTTTATCATCTTAACTCTATAAAATACAACGATTGATTTTTCTCATAGTTTTATTTCAGCGTAGATTTTGCAGTTTATTTAGTATGCTGTCTTCTTTTATAGAAGAATATTTATATAAGCGAACGCATACGAACTCTCTCAATAATAACAAGGCTGGTTGTTGCATCGGAGATTTCATTCCGGAAGAAGGTCTTCCAGAATTAATGAATGATGTAGTCGATGATTCTGGAGATTTTTGCTCCGCAACAATAAATGTTGAGAGACTTCACAGAGATGGTAATTACTTCATTTTCACTTCTTTTCCTTCATGTTCTTTTCTTTATAATGAGGAATACAGCTGTCTTTAACTTCTAATATTTTTCATACTTGGTATTGAACAGACTGAAGTTTAGAGTTAGCAGGAGACAGTGCGGCAAAAGATCATCAGTCAGTTAGAAGTAGAATTAAAGAAATTCAACTTCGGAAGCAGGTGATAAAGCGGGAAGCAGAAAAAGTGGACACGGTAAATTTCTTCTTGAATAATCTGATATTACCTCCCAAATATTCATTTGTTTCGCTTCAACCAACTTCCTGAAGGAAAATAAATATAAGTAGCGATTCTTTTTACAGTCTAGCATTCAATAAAAAGCGTTGTTAGGAATTCTGAACAGCGGTAGTGTACGTAAATATATATCGGTATTAATAATTCATACAGCTGATATATTATGTTATAGCAGAATGGCAATAATAAGCACTTATCAGAGATATCTCAAATGGAGAACTTGCAACTGTCAGAAAACAAAGAAAAGAAAAAAAAATCCTCGGACCAAGTATTAAGAACAAGTGCTAGCAGCAAAAGACTGGCTGCTCTTGATGCCGCATTAAATGCTGTTATACAGCCATCTAAGTTAGTTTATCATTATTTAGTTCTTTAGCTATATATACACCATTCTTTGGTTTACAAGCAGCATTCAACTATTAGAAGGGCTATTTTAAGAAATAACGAATGCTGGTTTTTGAGCAGTACCGCTATAATAAAGGATATTTCAGAGTGAAGCAGCTCTTTCAAGAAAATAAGCCAATGGTTAATTTAGTCATTGTTGGCCATGTAGATGCTGGTAAAAGTACACTAATAGGACATCTTCTATATCAAGTATACTTTTAAGTCTCAAAACATATGGGTTAGGAATAGCTAAAGTCATTCATTCGGTATAGTGGTGAGAATCCCACTTATTTGGTATAATGGCTAAGCTGAAAGTATGCAGAATGTATCAGACCAGAAACTAATTATGTTTCACCACACAGTCTCACCAACTGAAATTATGTAAATGATCAAAAAATATCGACCTTAAACTTTATATGAAAAAAGATTGTTGCAATCATTGCATTCCAGCAAATAAGATCATAATTTATTCATGAGGATGATTGAAATTCTTTATGTCCTTGTGAAAGATATAATTTTACAGTTGGGTAGTGTTGATGAACGGACTATGCATAAATATAAACAAGAATCAGCTAAAACTGGCAAAGCATCCTTTGCATATGCTTGGATTCTTGACGATACACAGGTGTGCTACCATTTCAATTTAATGTTTTTTTTTATTAGAATTTGTGACATGAGGGATATTTTGAACATGAGTTTAGTATTTCCTTGTTGAGTTTCATATGGATAAATAGATTCAGCTTAGGAAGAAAGGCAACGAGGTATAACAATGGATATTGCACGGACAACGTTCGAAACTGAGCATCGGAAAATTTTCGTTCTAGATGCACCAGGTCACAAGGATTTCATTCCCAACATGATTATGGGTATTCGTACTTTATTTACCTTACAATTGTTCTTTTTTAAAGCTTTTTTAATTTTTTCAATATTGTTGAGGCTAAAAGGTATTCTAAACACCACACAGAAATTGCAATGCTTAATATAACAGTAATTCCGTATTAAGTAGAATTTCTGTATGGTGTTTTCAATATGAAGTTTACATTTTTAGAGTGATTATTTGTTCATAGAATGTTATATCTTATGGCTTTAGGTGCCGCTGAAGCAGATGCTGGTATATTAGTTATCAATGCAACTCGTGGAGAATTTGAAACTGGGTTTGATCAGGGAGGTCAGACGAGGGAACATGCTGTCTTACTCAGATCTCTGGGTAAACCTTGTTGTTTAGTTAACTTATATAACGGCTACCCTTTCAAGAGATACGATGTATGCAGATTTGATTACTTTCCTTATAGCTTCAAAACTTTCAACTATTTGTTCATTTGATACTGGAGAGGAGATAGTACTTATTATTTTGCAGGGGTAGGTGAACTAATAGTTGCCATAAATAAGATGGATACGGTGAACTGGTGTCAACAACGTTACGATGAACTTTGTGCCACTTTAAAGGTTTTCCTTAGAAAGCAGGCTTCCTATTCAGCAGTTAAATTTGTTCCGCTTTCTGGATTGGATGGAACAAATTTGACAAAAGCTCCACCTGATGGTCACTCTTTGTGCACATGGTATCAAGGACCAACACTTTTGCAAGTAATGGGTGAGAATAATATTGTGTTTCCTAGGAATATATAGTTTTAGATTTGCTTGAGAGGAAAAAGACATTATTCTAGTTTGGAGAGTTTGTATCAACACTACTAGTAAAAGAGCTGAAATGTGAAAGAATGTAAAACAGATTAACTGTATTATCTTTTTAGATGAAATGCAAGTTCCAGTACGGTCACAGGATCGCCATTTCCGAGCTGTTATTAATGATATATACAAAGCCTCAACGTCAGCGCTTTCAGTAGGCATCAAAATTGAGGCTGGTTTTATAGAAAATGACGAGAAAGTGTACATAATGCCAAATGCTGATCCTGTAATTGTTAAAGGTATCTTAATCGTCTCTTTCATTCTTGTGCTTATCACTGAAAAACACATAACTTGAGGACTAGTTCCACCATTTGACTTTTTGAAAAAATAAAGAATAATGATTTTTATTTACTTTACACATGAAATCTGCATGCAGGGATAGTTGTGGAGGCCAATTCGAGGAAAGACATTGGCTTTGCTGGCGATCAAGCTACGGTGACTCTAACACCTGTTTTAAATATCGAACCCAATTCCATGAGCATTGGATACGTTCTTTGTCGTGGTGGACAAGTTATTTTCCTATATTTTTCGCTCAATTTTTATTTCTTAATTACTCCAAATTAGAAAAGCAGGAGTGAAATTTTTTTACTTCCATCGGATAATAAAGAACCAAGAATCTTACATTAAATTCGGCTTGCAAAGCTATACAGCCATAGGTTTGACGTATTGCATAGTTTGGAACCGCATGAATGCTTGAAGTGTTTTTATCTTTTTAAATCGATGTGTTGTAGGAATGTCTCATCCCTGGAAAGAAATATCTGGTGCGTATTGTTGTTTTCGATATTGTTATTCCGATCATAAAAGGCACTAAAGCTGAACTTTTCGCACATTCGTTGTGCGAACCTTGCACCATCACATTGTTGAAGGCAGAACTAAATAAATCTACAGGCGAAGTGATAAGGCAAAAACCTAGGTTTTTTTCTTTGATTTGTTTTATTTTCTCATTTATGATATCGTTATTTCTGGATGTGAAGCAACCTCGCTGGCATTTTATTACTTATCAACATTAACCTTTTTTCCGTTTTCTAATATTTTGAATTTCTTAGTGTCAGCATTCTTTATGTTGATGTTCACAGGTTAAACTGAAAAAAAAGTAGAGGATCAAAAAATATCGCGTTGTATGTGGTCGTATGTATTAAGTTGATAAAGATGACACATTATAGCTCTCCGGTCAATTGATAACAGTTGTGAATTTTAGAGCACTAACAAAACATATGAGTGGAACAATTGAAATTCAAACTGAACGAGCTGTGAGCTTAGAACGGTATTCGGAATGTAAAGCACTTGGTCGTGTGACACTTCGCTGTGTGGGACGAACTGTTGCAGCAGGCATTATTGAACAGAGATTGGATTAACTGAATGCTTTTTTTATATGCTTTTCATAATAAATGATTCCATTTTCAATGGCACCATCACTATGTAAATAATGTTAACTATCTTCAAATATTCTTTATATTAAAGTTCACAGATTAAACTGGAATGACTATCCCGAAGCTATAGGTTAGCCTTCCAAATCATGCTCATGTTTTAATTTAAAAGACCAGTCTCTTCTTTTTCTTGAATTTTTCTTTTTTTATATTTATTTATATTGCTCAGTAGTCTATTGTCAACAGCCAATATCATTTTTATTAAGCAATTATCTGAATAAAATTCGTGAACAATAAATTGTCTACAATATTTCATATGAGAGATGAAGTACCCGAATCACAGACTTTATCGCCACAATCTGATTTTCATGTTAGACGCCAACATCACGTTGGATGTCGATTTTTAAGTATGTATCTCACTTAAGCCACACTCCTCCCAATGAGTCCTCAATAGCTGGCCACACTTAACAAAACCACCTCTACAAGATTTTTATAAAATATTTGCTGGGATATTTCAGGCTTTGGATCGTGGGAAGAAGATCGTCATCTCAATACTCATCTGTTTTCATTGGTAGTATACATCGTCTGTGTGTGCATTAAAAACAATTATGTATGGTGCAATAAGTTAGTATTGCCTTCAACTAAAGTTGATTTTGTAATGTTGAAAGTCTTGATATGAGGAGTTGGTTGATCACAAAACCCATTTTAGGTTGTTTGAAGTTTCCGCTGTTTTTTGTTTGAACTTATCCGCTCTAATCCCGTTTCTAAGGTATGATACTGAATTCAGGAATTGGCGGTCGATCCATTTTTAAGTCTGGTTGGTGTCCATTGATTCCTTGCATTTCTGCTGTCTTAGCCATTCGCTTCCTGATTTGTTTCAATCGCTTATTCACAGCACGCTCAGCTGGCGTACTATAGGTTTTATTCTGGTCAAATCGACCTCTAACCCGATGAACTATTGACAGTATAGCTGGCAGAACCACAAGACCGTGTAAATTGCATAATATAACAGAAGTAACCATTGTTTTCACAAAGACCTAAATGTAGTGATTAGTGTATCTCATAAAGAATTATTCTAAAAGACATAGTATTAGGTTTCAAATATTTTAAATTCATATAAAAAAGAAGATGGAGTAGTTTTTGATAGAGATACCTGCGACATATAAATCCCAGCAAACCATAAGCTGTAAACACACAGTATAGTAGATAATGCTGCCTGCACAGCTGGAAATCCTACCGAGGTAAGACAGTTGCCAAGTTTAGCTTGGGGTGTCGATTGCTCGTCTAAATATAGGAAAATTTTAAAAAATATAGGAAATATAAGTATGAAATTTAGTTTATAGTGGCCAAAAATATACAATCCTCTCTTAGGACACTGGTGATAAAACAGCAAAAAGTAATAGAGTATGGAGTATTAGGCTTGTTTGGCAGACAAATGCTTACTGGCTTTGCAGTAATGATAAGCAACATGTGCTGGAATATCAACACTAAAGCCAGTGGATATTATCATCGCGGCCATTGAAATCGGATCTAATTCAACATTCCACCAAGACATTATGCCTAAGATACCTAAAAAGTAAACCTTTATAGAAATCATTCATAATTAATGTTCAAGTCAATCAACCTAAGTTCTTTTCAAATAGAGTCATTTATTAAAGATATCTCATTCTGATTGAATAAGCATTAAAAATCTTCGTAAATTTCATGTTTAATTTAATGATGAGTTTAGACTATAGTTCTGAGCTATTTAATCTTTTCATTGCTGTTTGCTTTGTTTGATATGGTTAATAAATCAGGTTCGCTTACCAATAGACACAGAGAGGACAGAGGCAGTTGCAATAATCACCGTAAGCATATTCCGAAGAAACAGAAAGCATACCGCAGCCATACAAATCAGTGTACCAGCTATCGATTGCCACGTATCCGTCGGCATATTATCGATCAGATCAAGAAAGATGGCGTCTTCATGGAATACGGAAGCATGGAATGATTCGCTTCAATAATGAAAGCTGATTAGGAAGAAATCATCATATTATCATTCAAGAAAATGAACAAAGTTTGACAAAATTACAGCAACGATGGTCAGTTATTAACTTATGTAATGATATTTTCTCCTTTTCTCGTCATCATTTCCTCTCGTCTATCATTCTAAGTCATTATTTTTTAAACTACAAAACTTACTACATAGCTTTGTCTACGATAGCACGCCATCGTTTAAGTAATTTCCCTCGTGTCGTCCATACTTTCAAATTTTCATCATGATAGGCTGTGGTGAAAAAGAATCTTTTCAGTTTTTTTTTCCTGAAATAACTCGTCATGCCTTATTAAAGTCAAATACTCCTGATATATCTGAGCTAATCGATAAATGCATTTATGAATGCGCATAAAACATAATTTTACCGCATTCTACTGACGTATCTCTCTAATGGTTGTTAGGTATGGAATTTGAATGAAAGTCAAATATTACAAACTTTCCATCGGTGCTTAAATTTTGCAACTGGACGAAGCCAGACCAAAAGTCATATTCTGGCCATGTCAAAAAATTTGCTAAATCATCATTATTGAACTTGAGAGCGTCTTCCGGATTTATTGTTGTGGTGCTAACATCATCCAAAGAGTCAAAATCATAATCATGTTCTGCTGAAATGAATGAATACGGAAATAGAATTGTGTTTAAAGTCTTTTTGCTAGTTAGTTATACTCCCTATAAGAATAATGTTCCCGTAAATCAGGATACAGTCAATAATAATAAATAAAAATAAAAACAAACATTGCAAAAAACTCTGGAATAAAGCAAAATCGCGCACGAAATACATGGTACCAGTAGGTCCCCAGCTACCGTCAAGGTTCTCGAAATCCTGAACCATATTATTCATCAGAAGAAGGGGCAGTTTCTGAGACAAATCTCCTGGTGTCTCCACAAATACCGATGCCATCGTAAAAAACGGTATCTGATATTTTACGCGTAACTTATCGAGCTATAAAGGACATAAAGTTAGATTTGTAATAGACATCTAATAATAACTACAATCTATCAAAATGTTTGAAAACAGTCTGTGGCAGAAACCTTTATCAGTGGTGAATCTGCTGCAAATAGTTTCTGAGGCGTTAAACTGATATTCATCCGTGTTATCCCCTCAAATGATAATTTATATTGGTGTATCTAATTACATCTATGAGAGCATAAATATAGAATTAGATGAAAAGATAAAAATGTTGCTAGAAATCAAAAATGGTTGATAAATTACAAGTTTCTAAGTAAATTATTGAAACAATATGAGATTAAGATGAACTATTGATCATCTAAATGAATATCTTCTGAGGAGCAATGCATAAATGAGAAAGATAAACAACAAGAAAACATACCCATACTGATATGATAATGTAAGTAATATATAGAACAATGATTAGAGTAGCTATCGAAGCATGAGCAATGATATTCACATATACTCGCATGTATTTACTGATGTACAACTTTGATTTATCGTGAAATCTCGAATTTTTACGCTGAAAGATATGAAATCATTAACGATAGAATCAGAAGAATGGCCCAATCAATCAATGACATAACAAGTGGATCGGTTAACGGATATCCAGTTGATATCAGTGAAATATAATCATATTCCAATAACAGAATGAAGCGATATTAGTTTGTAAAGATTAAACTTTTCAATTTTATTTTTTAAAATAAGCTCTAAAGAAATAAATTTTTCCTGATATGATAATATAAGGATAATGACAAGCGTTACTATTGCAAAATGGGAGATAATATTATTTGGAAAATTAATAGAGAAAAACTTGCAGTAATCTCGCTATATTTTCTGATATTCACTTGAGTTTTCTGTATTGTAATATTTGTGATATTATCTTCATTTTTCTCTGCTGCAATCTCGAATTTTCCAACAACGGACATCAGACCGGAATAAAATAACATCTAAAATAGGAAGTGAATAAAGTTATTGCAGAAAGAAAAAGGAATATTTTCAAATGTATCACTTACCTGATACAAATACGCCATAAACATGGAGAATAAATTTCCAATGCATAATAGACGAATTTCAGGAGAAGATGTAAAACAACCAACAGCATCAGCTAATATATTAGTTATTGCGGAGATTAATATAGCGGGGCCAACTTCACTGAGTACCTGAAATATCACATCAAACTGACAATCTACGTAAAATGTAATATGCTTAATTAATAATTAATAAAATTTGAAGAAAAATCAGACCTCAGACATTCGATGTCCAACAGTTCCACTCTTTTTCTCACCATCCCGTATCTCCTTTGTTACTCGCTGCCATTCATGGATCATTAAGTACGAACTATCAATACCTGAATTATTCTTAGTACTTAACACTTAGTACTATTAATACTTAAATTGTACTTACTTGGTACTTGACATTATCAATACCTGAATTGCTCTAACTCAATGTCTAGTACTACAAGTACTTGAACTATTGATACCCAATATAAATTAAAACTTTTTAATCAGGTACAGTCTTTTTCACTTCATATGATTTAAAAAGATTCATTTACTCTCTTACCAATAGATAGAACCAGAAAAGGTATGACGCAAAGTATTGAGGAGAATCTCATACCACACAAAAAGAGTATTGCTAACGCTGTAGAACATGCTAGTAATGGTGTGGCGCAAGCCATTACCGCCAGAAAAACCTGAAATCCATGAGTATATTACGCTGGAAGTATATCACAAGAAAACTAACGATGTTAGCATGAAAGATGAAGATGAAAGAGTAAATAAATAAGTCAGATAAGAAAGCAAAAAGTTAAACAAAAAATCAGCTAACCTTGAATACATTATTTTGATGCATATAAGCAGCTCGAACCATTACTGTAATTACAGAGCAGGTGCACATGATAATAAAGCCTGCAGTTAGATACGGTAGTAGTGATATTCCGGCACGAACCATTTCTTCTTCAATGTAAGTGGTGGAAGCGACATAAATTGTCAAATGTTCTGATTG